TTCATTCTAGACTTGACAGGAACACCAATTTGTCCTGCTTCGTGATGGGAGTTGTTTTCAAAGCACTAACTTGATGTTTACCAACTCTCGCTTGAATAATTTATTGGATTATTATTAGATTGTATGTAATAAATTCAGTGCTGATTTATCACTTCCTTCTTATATGCATGGCAAATTATGCTCGGGGGTTTATCTTTATTCAGATAGGGAGAAGATGTCCAGGACAATAGCAGAGTCTTATCAAACTTACTCTAGGAGTGTGTCCCAGGGTTGGGCTTCTAATATTTCAGCAACCAGTTTTCCGCCTGTTTGCTGGGTGGGCATAGACATAAGACATAAGACATAAGAATTTATTTGTCATTACACTCGCAAGCGGGTGCAACGAAATGAGGTGCTCTTCCACAAGTAAAACTGGACAACACCATTGAAAGAAAAATAAAATTAAACACAACAGACCATACAATAGTCCATTCTCGCCACTATCAGTATGTATATTATTAAATATGTTATGCCTTTGCTGTGACCTTCTGTCATTATTCCTAAGAGGAATATAGTTCTGGCTTAAATTGGATATATTCTCCCACCATTTCCTCTACCCATGTCTGAATCGGTCACCAATATTTTCTTGCTGGATGACATGTCCACCACATGTGGTAGTAGGTACCTGGTAAATCCATTCCAAACCTCTTTCTCCACCCATTATGCTATACTATCTCTTATCTGAACATTCCCTAAACAGCATCACTCCACCCCATTTCTCAGGGTTTTTCTCATATACCGTTACAGCCACCATCTTCTTTACAGCCTGAGAAACTAGGGAGGGTCTCTTTCGAGCATCTTTCTCCATCTGTTATGCAGCTCTGGGCTCTGCAGTCTCTTATCTGATGCTTCCCTTGGCAGCATCTCTTCTCTCTGTTTCCCAAGGTCTTTCTCATTACAGTCTCCTAGTGGACATATTTTTACAAGTATTAAACCAGTTTTTGACCCAAAACATGATTACCCATGATTTTTTTTAAAAAGAAAAACATTTCCAGTGTATTGTCCATGACATAATTTCTGACCAACAGGTGAACATCAGTGATCATAAGTTCAAGAACTGGTCATAAGTCCAGAGGTGGTATTCAGCAGGTTCTGACCAGTTCTGGAGAACTGGTAGCGGGAATTTTGAGTAGTTCGGAGAACCAGCAAATACCACCCCTGACTGGCCCCACCTCCATCTATTCTCTGCCTCCCATTGAGTCCCAGCTGATTGGCTGGGTCTTCTTTGGTTTCCCTGCCCAGGAGAACGGAGCTGGAAAGCAGGTTAGTGGGGTGGGGAGGGAATGGGGATTTTACAGTAACCTTCTCCTGCCATGCCCACCAAGCCACGCCCACAGAACTGGTAGTAAAAAAATTTAAACCCCACCACTGCATAAGTCACTTTTTTTCAGTGCCATTGTAACTTTGAACTGTCACCAAACTAAGGATTGTTAAGTCAAACACTACTTGAATCTTGTAGATAAAAAACTTCCTAAATTCCCCTTAGCAGGGTCTCACCCAGTAAGCAGAATGGCAAAAATCCAAATTTACCACTGTCGCCTCTATGGATGTACCGTACTTCTAGTTCCGTCCCCGATTTTGGCATTGTGTAATGTGTGCGCTGGTATTGATTACATCCGTTGGAGATGTTGATGATATTTGTTGGAGTGCTGAGCTCATTAAAGCTTTGCAAATCTCAACAGTCACTATTTTCAATCCCACTCACTCAGGGAAGGGGGAGAAAGTTGTATGTTTTCATAGAGAAAATGCCTTTGTAAACTGGTGTTTTTTGTGGGTGGGTGTGGAAAAACCCTGAGAAATGAGCTTCCTTGTGTGTAGTTTGATCCTTTGGGAGAGGTGTAAGAAATTGCAAAGTACCTGTAATCCTCAAGATAGGACCACAATTGAGCCCCCAAATGTATGTTGCTCAGCGAAACATTTTTTAAACGTGTTGGTCTCATTTTATGACTTTTCCTTGATGCTGTTGTTAAATGAATTGTTGCCTTGGTTAAGTTAGTCCCCATTCATTGCTAGTTTTGGTTTTAATTTCTGGAATGAACAAGCCAGCACAAATCCAGAAAAATCTCAGATTCTGGAAAGAGTGCAGAGAAGAGCAACCAGAATAATGAGGGGACTGGGGGCTGAAACATACGAAGAATGGTTGCTGGAATTGGGTATGTCTAGCCTAATAAAAAGAAGGACTAGGGGAGACATGATAGCAGTCATATTTGAGGGGCTGCTACGAAGAAGAGGTCAACCTATTCCCCCTGGAATTGGATGGAAACTAATCAAGGAGAGAAGCAAACCTAGAACTAACAGTTAGAACAATTAATCAGTGAAACGCCCTGCCCATAGTAATTGTGGGTACTCTTGAAAACTGAAGGTTTTTAAGAAGAGACTGGACAACCATTTGTCTGGAATGGCATAGTATCTCCTGCTTGAGCAGGGGGTTGGATTAAAAGACCTCCAAGGCCCCTTCCACCTCTGCTATTCTATGTTAGATGTCTCAGACATCTTGGTCTAGGCCAGAGCATGCTTCTCTTTGCATTCGAAAAGCCGGTTCGGTCTCAGCCTGCAACCTCCCCAAAACCCAGCTTCCCGCGCGTTCTCAGGTCGCAGATAACGTGGCACCCGATTGTCGTTTGCAAATTGCCCATTTGTCAGCTTTGACATCAAGAGGCAAAAAAAAAATTAATACGATGTTAAAAAGGAAAGGAAGGGAATTCATTCTGTGTCATTAATTCAACAGGGGAGACGATGACAAGATTTCCTTTATCTGGTGATAGATAAAGAGATAGAGAAATAGAAAGATAGACAGACAGATAGACAGAGACAGACAGACAGATAGACAGAAGATCCATATGGCTGGAAATAGATATGGACGGAGAGAGATGAGAGAGAAAGATAGATAGAGATAGATAAAGAGGTAGAAAAATAGAAAGAGGGATGGAGATGATAGACAGACAGACAGACAGACAGACAGAAGATACATATGGCTGGAAATAAGTAGATACGAACAGAGATTGGTGAGAAGGAGAGATGGATGGAGATAGATAAAGAGATGGAGAAATGGAAAGAGAGATAGACAGACAGATAGATGTGGTGGATGGACAGATGGCTAGGTAGGTAGGCAATTATTGTTTAACCAATTCCCAGTTTTCAAGAAGGAATGTGCTTGCTTCAGTATTGGTGGAGAAAGTTTATTAAAATCCCATGGCAGTTAAGAGTTGAATGCCACATCCTCTGTAGGGAGTTTTAAAATTATTATTCTTATCATTGTCCATGGATTGCCCTTTGTGTAGTTAATGCAATTAATCTGAATTTAAGGTTTTTGCTATCCTTTGCTTTCATGACTGTCTTCCTTGGCCCATTTATTAAATGTAGACGCTACCCAGACTGGTTCTCCAGAACTTTAATAGCTCAGTAAGACAAAGGGGAAACCAGCCCCTCACTATCTCTAAAAATCATAAGCAGGTTAGAGTTACTTCAAGAAGGAGGCACCGTTTAATCTTTATGGCTTCGCTTTCAGCACAGTGGCTGCTTTTAATGGGAGGTTTACAAGATAGGGTTCTTTAAGCCAAGCATCACTTCACTTCCTTTCCTTTAAATTTCCTCTTATATTCTCTCCTGGTGGAACGACCAGAGATGTTGTAATATCACGCCTGGGAAGGACACAGTATAAAAATGAGTGATATTCTCATAGCTTGGCTGGTAATTCCTGGGACTGCCACGAAGATGCTGACAGAAACATGGAAGGAAATTTGCAGAAGGCTGTGTGTGTGTGTGACATTCTAATTAAAGCTGTCTAGCTTGCTTTTATTTGGGTTTTATTTAACAAAAAAACCCAGGCTACCAATTTACAGATGCAAGGATTACTTTGTAGGTTTTCAGAAGCTTACCTTTGAAGTCCCAAAGGTGCTTTAAAAACGAAGCAAAAGGTAACTGGACTTTCGTTGTTTTTCCTTGAAGATGTTTCGTTTCTCACCCAAGACGCTTCTTCAGTTCTGTTCTCCGGTTCTCCAGTTCTTCAGAAGTGAAGAAGCGTCTTGGATGAGAAGCGAAACGTCTTCAAGGAAAAACAAAGTCCAATTGCCTCTTGAAAAAAGCACTTTTGCAGAATACTCCTACAGATGAGATTATAATCAAAAAGATACTAGATTGTGTGGAAACGGATAGATTGACATTAAAAATAAAGGACGAGGAAGAAACAGAATATTTTCTGCCATGGGATTTGTTTTATCAGTGGTTAGAAAATAAGAGGTAGAAATTAGAAGATAAAAGACTTATTATGTATAAATAGATGAAAGTTTAAGTAAGTAAATAAACAATATATTATTATAAGTAAACAATATATTATTATTGCTATGATTACCATTACCATCATCCTTGTTAATATCACTTTGTATAAGCAAATGGAGACAATACACTGTTTATTAAGCACTTACGTTGATTAAAGAAAAAATGTATATTTTTTTTAAAAAAAGCATTTTTGGGACAACCAGGACCTGGATGACTGAGAATCTCCATAGATACTTGCCTTTAAAGATTGTCCCAGGAATTATAATCTGTATAAAACGCAGCCGCAACACAATACTTTATTATAGTAAATCTTTGATTCTGCAGTTCTAGGTTCAGGAGGCTTCAGGTGGACCAGAGAAATATCTGAATTACAGCAGAAGGGTGGACTTCATCCAAGCAACAGATGAAGTCTGTTGTTTGCCAAACCAATCTGGGCAACATGTTGAACTTATCTAGGCGTTTAAGGATGCCTGACCTGCGTTCCATAGATTTTTACGTGCAGGTGTAAAATCCCATTCATGTTATAGCAAATGGGTTCTGAAAGGGGCACCTCTTCCCACATATGAATGAGTTAAGTCAAGAGTTGATTGTTGAGACCTGGATGGCGCTGTCTAATGAACGACTAATCGTCTTTGCTGACTCCGTGCAATTTCCCCCCCCCCTCTTTTTTTTCCCCTCTCCAGCACATCTCCTTTTTCCTCGGAGATCATGCAGATGGATTTTGAGATGGAAGCTCTCAGCGAATGGCCGGGGATGCAGTTCATTACATGGCAGGTCGAATATCCTGGAGGAAGGACATCTGACCTCAGCATCTCCAAGATTTATGTCAGCCAGAAGGATCTCGTTGGCATTCTTCCATTAGCTATGGTATGATAAATTATTTCTGCTCTCGGTTTGGGGGGATCTCAACCGTATTGGCTCCTCCACCATGTGAATAGACCAGAGTGGAACATTACAGACATGTTCTTGCCTTCCAGTCTCTGGACTGAATGTGAAGGTTGAAATTCAGGTGTGCTCCAGGTTATTTCTCTTACCTTATGATGCTTTGGGTGGTTCAGGAAGAGCAAGTGAATTCAGAAATGCAGTAGGTACCATGGTGGAAACCTGGCTGAACTGAGGGAGGCTTCTCTTCTTGGATTCAGGATATTGGACATTATTTTGGATTTCCCCCATTTAAGCTAATGTTCTGCAGACCTATAGGTCTTCTCCTATTTTCTGTCAATTGTCCTGTAATTCAGTTTCTTCCATGTTCTGTCCACCATTCATGGAATGATTGCTCCATCTCTGATACACTTCTCTGTTCTGCTAGAACATCTTTCTAGTGATGTGTCTTGGAATGGTAGGTTATAGATGTTCTCCGTGATCGGTTTTTCATTTATCCAACACCTTCTGTTGCTTCTTGAAGAAGCGGGACTTGTTCCTTGGTTGTGGAATATATCTGCTGGTATATATGGCCTTGTATGCGTCAGGCATGAAAGACCAAGTCCACACATGAAGGTTCAATTAATCTGATTCATTGCTAAAAGCCTGTGTGTGGGAATCTTCTCAACTAACCATTGGCACCTGCTAAGAGTTTTATAAGGGTGAACAGCACTCAAGGGGAGTTGGACTTGTTGCTATGCAGGGATTCTAAGCTTATTCCCCTTTTCACTCCACTTCCCAATTCTGCCATCTCTTCTATAGTATGTAATTGTGTGGACTGTGCTGTTGCTTTCTAAGTGAGTGACCATATCATGATCTGGTTCTTATTAAGCTGATTCAGTGCCATCTTAATTTTTCCTGGGTATTGATTAATAGATTGATTAATAAAAGGGTGATGTTTGTAATCTGAAGATACCCTCCCTTGTGTTGGTGAATGGAATGGTCCGCAGATGTTGTCCAAATCTACATGATCCCTGATCCACCAGAGTAACAAGCTTCTAATTCATTCATTGATTGGTTCTGGCTTACCGTTACAGCTTCAAAGTTGGATCAACCAACTGGAAAGGTTTCAAACAATAGGAATTGATTGACACAAAAAAAAGGAAGATGACTAAACAACAAATGGCTTTGTCTTACCCTTCCGTTTCCTTTTTGGTAGGACATCACCTCAACCTTCCTTGAAACCTAGGAGATAAACTATTGATAATATTCCCTTAGAGTTCTTTCTAGGAAAGTTTAGAGCTTGAGCTCGCTGGGTTTTTTGCATTAATCTAATATTTGGAAGGATTGACTGTCCCAATTTGGGTACAAGGGAGACAAAGCTATTGTCAGCGTTCCAGGGAACCTCCACCCCGATCAGTAACTCCGAGACAAGCATAATCTCAAAAGTACTTTTATTAGAATAGCACGTGGCATATCTGTGGAATTTCGAAACTAAAAGTTTCCCGGACTTCCTACAATATCCCAACCTACAAACCATTCCCTTATTACTCATTCATCACATCACATGAACCAATCCCAAAGCACGTTCCATTCCTTCCTGCGCCAGACTCTTTGATCTTGAACTAACAAAAGAATTCTATTTTGTCTACTAAGAGCTACTCAATTAAAATCACCCCCTCCCACTTTCTCAAGCTTTGTGGCTGCGATGAATAAGGATTCCAAAGCTGACAGCTCTTTGGACTTCTGATTGGCCGAGGTGACCACTTTAGATATCCCAGGATGCTCTTTGTCTTATCCTTCTGAAAATGGGCCAAGCTAGGAGCTCTGATTTTTTTTTTTTCGCCCCAAAGGCCCCATGACACCCCTTAATACAGGAAATTTTACAAAAGCCCTGTAAAATTCCTTAGTGCGGTATATTAAAAGATACAATGGAAAGGTTTGTTTAACAAGCACCACACTCATTTAGCAACCGTGGTGTTCTCTTAGCGACTGCCATGAAACAGGTTGTAAAATCAGGCACAGCCATGTGGCGATCCGCTTAACGACTGTCCCGACTTACAACCATAATTCCAGCCTCATTTCTGGTGGTACGTCAAGAACACCTGCATTCATTGCTTCGATAAGCACTGATATTGGAGAGAAGGAAAGCCACAAACAGGTGACTTCCTGTTCTCAGCTTGCACAGCATCCAAATATAAATAAAACTTGGTACTCGTGAAGGGCTCAAATTAGAATTTTACAACGGTTGACCTTGGATTACTTGGACAAACAGCTGAATGAGGCTCCTGCCCGTGAAACTCCACAGAAGCCAGATTTTTCAACAACCGTAGCATGCACTGAAGGGCGAGCAAGTGTTAGGTTCGTATGTATATGAGTTTTTTTTGGGGGGGAGATTATAATAGGAACCGGGTGGTTGCCTAGCAACGGGCTGTTAATTATTATGCTGCTAGCCAAGGTGGGGAAAATGTTTACGCTGTTCTTGGAGACCACCAACGGAATTTGCCAACTTTAAAACTAGAAGGTGGCCTTTGGGCTTTAATGACCAAGACAATTATAGTAAGGGTTCTCTTTATTCTCTTATTTAAAAACTGAACCAAACAAAAGCATTTATCATGCTGGGTCTGTTGAATTAGTCTAACTCCAGCAAGGGATTTGGCAATTGGGTTGTTCAATACTGTAAAGCGCAGTAGAACATAGAATCCAAGCCCTGGCCCAAGTAGCATTCCGTATACTCTACAATTCCAATAGGTTTCACAGGCATTCACAGATCTTTCCTGAGACTGATGGAGATTCGTGGAGAAGGCTCCAGTGTGCTTGGGGTGTGTTTGTGGTGGTGAGAAATCAAGCAGAGTTTGCATGTAGAATACAGAACATATTGTGATAGGGTTGGAAGGGACATTCTTCTAGTCCAGGGGTCGCCAACCTTTCGGCGCTCAGGGACCACTACATTCATGATTTTAAATTCCATGGACCATTAATATAATCTGCCTGATGACCGGTTGGGTGGGCGTGGCTAGGTGGTCATGTGACTGGGTGGGCGTGGTCAACTCAATATCACTCAGATCGAGGAGCGCCTCGCTGGCCTCTACTTACCCCTTCCTTCCCAGCCACTCCTTGCCTGCCCAACATACGGCCCCAACAGGAAGCAGGTGTTGGAGCTAAGCAGCCCCCAGGAGAAAGAGTTGGCCAAAAAGCTGCCTCCGTTCAAATTGGATCTGATTGAGGCTTCGCAGAAGCACCTCACTGAGGACTAGGAGCATGGGCTTTCCAAGCAGAGGGAAGACCTGCAGGAATGCAAGACCAGGTCCCGTGCCCGGAGGCTCAGTGGGCTGAGATGGTCAGCCAGTTCCAGGCCATGATCAGTCTCACTGGAATGAGGCCCTTTGGCTCTTCACCACCAGGGGCCTTTCCCTCCAGCCTTCACCCAAAGCCCCCTAGCAGGAGGCTGAAGCAGACCCCAAGTCAGAACTTCTGCCCCCTCCCACCCCCGAAGCAACACAAATGTTCATTGCACGTATCCAGCCCAGGGGCCATAATTTGAGGGCCCCTGATTTAGTGTAATATAAAAAAATGCAAATAATTTTTCTGTGGACCACCAAAATTTTCTCACGGACCATCAGTGGTCCACGGACCACCAGTTGGTGACCGCTGTTCTAGTCTACCCTCAGCTCAAGCAGGAGATCTTATAGGATCCCAGTCAAATGGTTGCCCAGTCTTGCCTTGAAGACTCCAACGATGGAGAGTGAGATATGTATGAAATTGATTGTCCTTGTGAGCTATTCCAGGATGAGTCCTTCCATTAAAACAGTCTGTTTGAACACTGTGGGTCAAGCTTGGACTCCTCCAGCATCATCATTGTTATTTGGTTTGGGTCAAGAACCATAGGCATGAATGGGTTTCACACATTGGCTAAGGTCATTTTTATGTATTCCGTTTTTGTAGTTGCATTCTCAAGCAAGTGACTCTGATATGTGGTTAGCTTTAGTTTAGTGCTGTATGCCAATCCACCAGCGTGAAATTTAATCCATGTTTATGGTATAGAATGTTTTGTAGCCCTTCTTTCTGGAATTTGCCTTCTATTTTTATCTTGCACTTAGAAGTTATTGGTGTGCAAAATCTGGAATCCAGTGTCATCTGCTTTTCATTTTTCAAAGCTTGGCTGATCCCTGCCAAGATCCCTGGCCTGGATTTAAAAAAAACAACCCAAGTACATGGTTTTGCAAGCTCTACAAAATTAAAAAGCTGATAAACTCACCAAGGTAGGGGCATCCTGCTGAGAATCCCTGTCACCCAAAGTAGTCTCTGCTCAGATAAATCATTGTCAGCATCTGGCAATCTTCCTGAATTAGGAATAGCTGCTGAGTGCTACTCTAAACAGAAGACATCTTGACACCAAAATTGGGACATCTGCAGTGTTTTTTTGCAACAACTTTGCAATTTTGCTAACAGTGTCAGCTGTTTATTAACAGGATGGCCCTGTCCGTTTTTTTTTTCAAAGTCCCATTTATCCTACAATCTTCAGAATAACAAAACAGGATAACAGAGTTGGAAGGGACCTTATAGGTCATCTACTCCAACCCCACCCACCCTACCCAAGCAGAAGACCAAGAAGAAATCTCATTGAATTTCCTGGGGCATATTTCACAATGTTGAAATGCAGAGGATCAGACTTTCAAAAAAAAACCCAACAACCCCAAAACATCGAACAATATCCCATTTCCTATCCATAATGGTTAATGTCCAATTTTCTGTACATGAAAAAGAAGAAATTGCAAAGCTTGCTGAAGAACATTTTCGCTTTGAAGTTTATATTATCAATTCAATATTTCATTTACTTCTTTGATCATTCTGCTGCTCAGATTAATTGGTGTCTCTTCATATGTACACTCGACACTTGTTCAAGTTAAAACCAGTTCAACCGTTGGAGTTAATATGGGAAGGATTCCAGTCATAACCATCATTCCTGCATAGAACGGAGAAAGCTATTGACGTGAAGCATAAAC